GGAAAATTTAAGGAGTTATTATTATGTACGTTTAGATGATACAACCGGTAGGATACTTTTGCACGTTACTGTAAATTTTTTTTGATGCGTTGTAGCGAACAATTATGTCGAATTCAGCCAATTTGGCAGTAGGGCCACTCCCAGAAATGTATTGAGTAATCTTTACGGAAAAAATCGTCATATGCGGTTGTTTTTATGTTTCCGATGGCTCGTAGCCAAGTACGAGCACATGGCATTAATTTTGGTGTTTTGGCAGAGACGTGACACCTGAAGGCATTTACTACAGTAGGCATGATAGATTTTCGTTAAAAGTGTTGAACTTTGAATACCTACGGTTATTACTTGGTCACTGAGATTTGTCAGTCCCAGTGATTTCTAAGCCAAACAGAATTTTCTTTGGTACATGTAAATACGGATTGGTTCTTTGGCAAAGTTGAGAAAGACACCTTTGCTTTAAATGGTATTGTCTCTGTTTTGTCCTCGACTTTAACGTCGAATATATGAACAGCAGTTGAATCGATGATTGTTAGTTTGTATTAGTTTATATGGTATTAAGAAAGTTGTTGTTATTCAGTTTGTATTCAATTTAATGTGAAATTTCGAAAGTTGTTATTGATGGTTAATTTTGAAGCGGGTATGTCAGCTTTTTATAGGGAAGATAGTTGGCCGAAGTCATATTGTAGGGGTCCGGTTCATTTCACCGACATAAATTTCATCGAGAATAATGACGTTAGGCTTAGAAGATCTACTATTATTATAGACAATTTAGTAAATAGATTGGATGCAATGGGTGAAGAGAAAAAACACGACAACAAACTGGGGTATAATAATAAATTCCATACGACCCTGTTACCTTTAATGCTACGAATAATTACTTTTGTAATATATCAGCAATTTGTTGTTTAGCATTTTTATTGCTACCATTTATTTCAAGTAAAACAATAAAATCTGACAAAAGCATCTCAACCGTAACAGAAGATATTCCTCTGAATAAACATTTAAGTTATCGAGTAAACTGCTTTTACTATTCCACAAAAACAAACAACATATGATAACAATAAATAAAAAACGCTAAAACGACTGATAATAAATATCAAACGTCGAATCTGTCTCCCACTTAAGATGTGGGTTCGGGTTTACCGCCACTCGCGGTAGCAGTGGGAGCAGTAATATTGGCACTGGTAGGAATATTGCAATTTCTTTCTAGAATAGGTACTACTTTTGCAACTCCGAGAATTCTTTCAGCACCTCCTCCATTATTGAATGCAAACTCTTCCACGACAAAGCAGCAATTGTCTCTGAGTTTGTCAATTGAGCCAGATCTACTTGCGATGATTGGCTTGCCGAAAGACTGTTCGTCAAGGTCAATAAGGTCGTCGTCGCCGGGAGTGGGGCTGGTGGCTGAGCTGCAACTGCCCACGTGAATATCATACACGGACTCAACTGATCCTGTTTTTATTGCACCCAGAACATTAATAAATCCAGTGATTTGCAAAGTGTCTTTAGGCGTCTCCGTGAATGATAGAAAACCGTCGAATGTGTTGCCATTATAACCGGCTCCCATACCGCTTGGAACTCCTCCGAACGAATCAGTAGGCAAACCCAAGGGATTGTCGTCTGGCGAAACTGGATTAAATACACATGCAGAGATAGGACAGCATTCTTTATTCCATTTCTTTTCAAGAGGCGAGGCATTGGCTGGTGTAGAAATTACGACGAGGAAGGTAATCAAGAGAAAGATCAAATAGACGGCTCGACTCATTTTTGAATAAAGTAACAAGAAAACTGTCGTTATAAGAAGGGTTGATTGCTGTAAGTCCTTGTTCGTATAAAGTTGTCGACTCGTTGTTGAACTGTCGGGAAAGTGCTTGAATTCCTTTCGTTTATATAGCTACAAAAGAAGGAAATCAAAATATATAGAAGAATATTTTAACTATTGACAGAACAGACGTATTATCAATTTAATGTTTTTTCTATTTGAGGCTTGGGGGATCGCGTTAAACAAAGGGTTCCTACTTGAACGTTAGCCGATAACAATCAGTATTGTCTTGAACTATACTCAATAAGTCGAAACCCCCGCCGAAAGAACTTGTATCTGGTTTAACAGGGCGTTCTCGAACAATATCGATGATTGAAACGACTGCATGTATTTTTATGTTTCCGCATGGAAATTTCGTCATTGAGTTATTATTATCGCCAAAAAAAAACAAAAAAAAAAACAACAAAACTTAATTTAGCTGCAAGTTTTGTTTTACAGAACCCATTTATTGTCATGGCTATTCTCTTTATAAAAATGTATGTTATCTATCGCATCGGAATTTAATGTATAGTATTTTTAAGTGTCTGCATGGAAATCTCAAAGTTTTTATTGAGTCATTGCTAAAGAACGTTAATTCAAGCCGATAAGATCATGAACCACACATATTCTCGCATCAGAATTCAATGTATAGTATTTTTAAGTGCTGTGTGGAAATCTCAAAGTTTCATTGAGTCATTGCCAAGGAACGTTAATTCAGCCGATAAGTTTCAACACACATATTCTCGCATCAGAATTCAATGTATAGTATTTCTAAAGGCTACATTTCAATAATAAAAAATAGATGCCTTGATGTCTGTTCTGATTGAGTAAAAAGAACAAGAAATTAGATATTGGGATGTACACATGTTTATCTGGTTATTAACGTTCATTCACGTTTAAATAATAGTAATATAAATAAAATACAAAAGTATTGTCGATCAATTAGTAAAACATATGAAAAGTCCTTTTTTTCGAACACATACATACTATGTAAGACAATAACTTTAATTGATTGACTTTCGAAAAAAATAAATCATGTGTAACATAGATACCGCATTACAATTCAGTGACCTTTAGTACATATTAATATAGACAATAGAAATGTTTGAACAAAGGATCAGCAATACTAATGTATGTTACACACGTAATACAGAACATGGCAAGTGGATCGTCACTTGCAGATAAAGCTGATAAGCACTCTTTTTAATTGAAAATACTTTAGATACAGTATATGCAAAGCAAGAGGTGATGAGTTGTAAGAAAATAGTGACAATATTAAATGATACACGATTTTATCGTTCTTTATACGCAATTATGACGATAACAAGACCAAGAACGGAAAAGTCTATTTAAAGCTTGGCGGTGATTATGAAAGACTGTGTTACAACAAAAACTTGTCGAGTGCGTACTCTTATTAATACAATGAGATATAATGGCAAAAACCCTTGCATGATTGAACAATTAACACTGTTATAACGTATGATGAGAGAATTGAAATAATCGAGTATGCAACTTATTAGGTGCAAAGCACGGACTCAATTAACCGCTTCCATTTCAGTTAAGGAATTATAATGTTAATATTAATAGTAATAGTAATAGAAGTTGTTATAAACTCGTGGTTCCATTATAACTATCTCTTTTAGAATTGTTTATTTGGTTGATGTTGTGTTATATAGTTAATTTGTGATTAACATTTGCAGCAACTTCGTCACTACATTTTAATTGAGAAAGAGAACAGTTAAAAACAACTTTAAATAATCTATAAATAAACAAAATCTTAAACTATGTTGTACCTGGGACCTGTTTCAGTTCTGGTCTGAGGTCTGAGGAACTGAGAACTGAGTTCTAGACTGTGTCTGGGTTCTGAACTGAGACAACTGAGTTCTGGTTTCTGGACTGAGACAGGTCCCCGACTCAGACACAACATATACAAAATCATAAATGGTGTTTTAATATCAAAGTTGGACATCGATATAACGAGAACAATATAGCAATTCTATTATGTATAATACAACAGAGCGATACGTTTGCTAAGAATGACTTACGTTTAATAAAGTGGAGCAATATTATTCATTATGTTCTGTTCGAACAAGAGTTACAGATCTTGCGTTAATAATATTGTTTTATATCAAAACGGGGCGAGTCTTTCTGGAGGCTCGTAACGTAGTGGTTTCACTATGGGGGCAAACATTTAGTAACTTTCTTAAACAGTATGAAGAAGGCTAATACCGATGGTGTTAAGTAACATTATCTCTAGTATGTATAGAAAGGCGTATTACGGTCTAATACATGCACATACGTTTGGATGCAACAAAACGATTCATCATTCGCCAGACTTAACATATCGAAGAAGTAACTCAACTTCCACATACTGTACATTGTCATCCTCACCAACCGTTTCGCCTGGGTACGACTCAATTTGGAATTCTCCTATGGAATATTCGACTGTTAACTTTCCTCATCAACTGTTGAGAGCGTTCAATATTGTTAGTCTATTGCAACTAGGCACTCGACGCTTAGCAAAGAGTTAATACTTTAACCACTCACTGAACTAAGAAAGAGTATAAAGAGTTTGACGCTAAGCGAAATATCAATAATTCTACGCTCGTTGGGTTAAGCTTCCCTGAATCTTAGAAGGAATACGTAGAGAGTCGGGAATATTCGTCTAGATATGTGGTTATCGTATGCGTAGCGGCTAATACAATTGTGATTCGTATAATCGTTAAGCACACAGGCCGTTATGGATAATGACATCATAATTTTACGCTTCGAATCTTGTTTTTATCTAAAAGGTAGGATCTTTGTTCCGATATATTCAATAAAGAATGGATTCTCATTGGCTCTTTTTTAGTAATAATCGTTTTTATTGTTTTATGAGTTTTCAATATCCTACGCTTTCCCTCTCATGATGTTTTATTCTTTTTCTCATCGAGTGGAACGTAAACTATCTTCTTATCACCATTATGAACAAATTGCCTCTTCCACATTTTGCCGTATCAATGTCTTCCTGCTTCAATCGTGTCTTTTGATATTGAGACTATGATACCAAATGGCGCGAACAGATATCACGCGATCGAATCAATTCAGCAACAATTAAATCAATTTTATCTTCCCATTAATACTCCCTATCTACAAATCTCACAAATCTCGGAATCGCATAATAATAACGGGGAATTCTATGATCAACTAACGTCTTTACTGAAAGCTGGATGACTTTTTGAATCGCTTATTCGTCTTCAGTCTCCAACACTATAGCAGTCATACCAGCTTGGCCATGTAATGGGGAATAGTATTAGTACGTACAATATACGGCAACTTCAGGTTTTTCGTCCGTTGTCTAATTTCATAATGTCGAATGGTTATGCCTTCTCTGACATTCCTGCCTTTCCATAAAGCCCCGCAACATACCTATGTATCCGCACACAATTCATGCCTATGTAATTTTTACGTGAAGCACGTACCTTTATTCGACATTTGCAGTAATGCGCACAATTTATTATAATATACGTTTTCTTTTCCAATAGTTTGCGATATTTTCCAGCATGTTTAATGCACATACCATATATAGAATCAGTTGGTATACCACACTCTTGACAAGGAAAGCGTAATCGCTTTTCCAATTAGGGGCACAGCCTTCTTGCCCATAACAGCCTTTTCCGCAAACACGTCCATTGATGTAAATATGTGGACAAGACTAATAACTGTAATTGATTACTTTCAACTTGAAATACTTATTTTTCGAATTGAACTTTTTTGTCGCTTTTATTATAACTTAATAATTATTAGCAAATATATACAATGTAAAATAACTCGTATATACTATCTCACCCTTTATAACAGCCAAATCTTAATAACTCTGTGCATCAAGTGAATAGAATAACACTCGAACTAAAATACTTATTCCTTAGACCAATACGATTATGTCGGACCGATACACGTTGGAGAGCGTTCGTGTAATTCTACTGTCGATAAATAATCAGTGACCTTTAAATGGGGTTCAAATGCTAGATCGGTCATGTATTACGCTATCCCTAGATTATTATTTAACTTCGAATATTACTTACTCTATTTCTTTCGATGGGATTAGTTGAAAGCCTGTAAGTCGGGGAAATTTCTAAACTAAATCGCGTTTATAAAGAATTAAATAATAATCCTACTGTCAAGTTCCTACGAAATCGACGGCAAACTCGACTCCGTTTACTGTCGATGCGGAAAAGTGTTTTATACTTTTACCGACAAATAATTTATATTTAATCACAGATTTTATTAGAATCCAAAGAGCTATTCTAATTATGTTGTACCTCAGTTGGGGACCTGTCTCAGTCCAGAACTCAGTTGTCTCAGTCCAGAACCCAGTCACTCAGTCCAGAACTCAGTTGTCTCAGTCCAGAACCCAGACACATCCAGTTGTCTCAGTCCAGAACTGAGACAGGTCCCCAACTGAGGTACAACAATTACAAGGATTGTAAGAATTCGTCTTTTACTATTAGGTTTAGCCAATGATATTGCTACGGCTTTGTCATTTCTTTTGGCACATTTACCAAATCAACTCTTTAATCGAATGGAGAATGTAAATATTTCTGGCATAAACAAATTCTTTACAGCACTAAAAAATAAATGGCGTGCGTAGACCAATTACTTTGACTATGGAAATGGTGGCATAGTTTCACAATCTATTACACATCAGTCTGCAGGGCAGGGCCAGCCACCAGTAGCATATAATCCCCATGCGCCTACCGTACGGCCACATTATATTGCATATAATCCACAGCCATCAGCCAGGACGACTCTTCGAGTCATAATAACGCTAATTATAATCCGCCACCACAAGTTGAGACACAAAATTTATAATAAATAGATGGGGCCCACAACCTCCAGGTACATACGAAAGAGTAAAAGATGAAAGTTTGTATAGATAGATAATGTAGATTGTTGGCGAAAAACCCAGAATATAATCAAGTTTCGTCCCCTCCTTTGTCTCCAAAACCTCGTCTCAAAACTCAAAAGCCCAAGCTTTACAGGAATTAAAAAAATATGCTGAAAGAGGTATTTCATTAGAAGATAATCGGCTTATGGAAATTGATCTTGCAATTTGCTAATCTTGCCAAACGAATTACTGATAGTAAAATAGGGATTCACCTAATAAAAAAATAGTCAACGCAACCCAGTTAGAAAAAGGATTGTTAGGAAGAAGAAAGCTACCAAAGGTAGAAAACGTGTTAATTTTGTCACTACCTCTTATGAAAATCCTATGGAAGAAGATGAAGATGATGAAATTATTGAGAAATATGTGTATGAGGGAGGCAATCATTTCATCGACAATCATTTCATCGACAATCATTTCACCGACAAATATTTACTAACATTATTTCGAATTTATCCTTTTTTAGTAGTTAATTGTCGGTGAAATGTACTGTCGGTGAAATGATTGTAATACGGACCCGTGTATGAAGATGGTTAGATGATCTGGTGAAAAAAAAGTAGCCAGAGTATCACTTAAGATGTCTGGAAAAGAGAAAAAAATAGATAATTTATATGTTCGGAAAATCATTCAGGAAGAGCTTGGAAACATTCTTAAGAAGATTAAAAATTCGCTATATACTACCGCTCAACCGATAGCTAATACCGAGGTACAGTGTGTCATTTCTCCTGAAATAAAAAAAGAAGCGATAAATCTAGATGAAATATTTATTTTTTAATTACATGTTTACGACGATCATGTTAGAAATAAATTCGACAAAATTATATAAAGGGTTAACTGTATCAATTAATCATAAAGAAGGGTTCTAATAATGCACAAAGTACACAGACTCTATCAAATAATAAGATTTCTAAGCGATCAAAAAAATAAAGGCGCATGAGTAGGAGACTCCAGGCATCGGTCTGTTGCGTTAAATGATTTTACAAAAGCGGCATGGTAAGTTTAGCTCAAATTTATCACATATGCAATTCCAACCATATGTGAAGTAAATATTTTACCAACACAATCAGCCATGATGCGATAAGTAAACTTATTCTCAATATCTCTATGCATGCATTTTATAAGTTTCACTAATTTTGTATAAATATTGAGCGAAAAATAATGTCTTATGTCGAAGATAAAGATTTTCGAAAATTTATGTTAAAACAGTAGTTATAATGCTATCTTCAGAAGTTAATTGCAATGCGTCCTTGCATTCTTGAGTAAAACATTCCCCATATTTTAAAAAAAATATAAATATAGATTTCATTGAATAAGAAGTTAAATTATAAATCGAATAACTATGTATTTGTACGACTGCTAACAACAACCCTAATTATAATTATGTGCAACATTGGCTGTGCCGATCCTGGAAATTCGTATCACATCGGAGGGACTACTCCGTCACCACAGCATCTACTATGGAATCATTTATTCGCAAACAACTTATTTATTAGAGAAGACAACTGACAGTTATAATAAACATCTTCTATCATCTTTGAGGATGAACCAGAGAAAAAAAAAATATGAAAATGCAGTTGAACAAGGTGATGCTCAAGCACAATATAATCTTGCTTTGTGTTATGATAACGGAACTGGAGTAGAAACAGATGAACAAAAGGCAGTTGAATGGTATCAAAAAGCAGCAGAACAAGGACATGCTGATGCACAATTTAATCTTGCTTTGTGTTATAGACATGGAACTGGAGTAGAAAAAGATGAACAAAAGGCAGTTGAATGGTATCAAAAAG